TCACCGTTGCATTACGCAGTGGAACGACCCTCCAATGCGGCCGCTGAACCATACCGTGGCTTAACGGACCGTGCCAATGATCATGCATGCAACACTAGCACTCACGGCACGCTCCATTCGAGCCGGTAAGTGGAACAGCAAAGCGTTCGTGAAGTTTAAACGGACTGTTTTGACTGTTCTTTTAACTGAGATAGTCATTTTCAAGATCATTCGGTGAAGTTCATAACGCTGCCCTTTTAATGACTTATATTCAGTAACAGTGCGGTTTCTGAACTAGACACCCGCGACTTTACGCAGACTATTCCGCGCAGATTGTTTCGAAGTCATCAAGATACGCATGACGCCACAAAAACGTCACTCGAATGCTGTCACGTCACTGGCCCTGCGGCGTTCCAGGCCAAAAGAAATATAATCGTCGAGCTATTCGTGTCTGGCGTACGTGAGCACTATTTCTGGAACCAACGGATTACAGTCCCTCTCAACCAATGTCATGCATTCACTGCAAGTTTCAAACACGATTTGGTTACTTGGCTATTTGGATTAGAGCGTTCTTGACCAGCAATGATCATTTCAGAGCTGTGCGATGAAAGAGAGTGGATAACGGTGGGGCGGGACTGCACACGCCTGGAGACCCAACCACCGGAACATAGTCCGCGCAGGGACCCTTGTATTCGTATTTGACATAACATAGACATAGACATTCCACACACATATGGCTACACACACACATATGGCTATTACGCGTCATTAGTCTGGGAGATAAAGCAGTATGCTGAAAAAATACCGGAAAGTAATAAGGGATAAAAATACATAAACGCATGCACGCATTAACAGGAGGAGACAAGGCTATCGCACAGGAAAGGACCTGGCAGCGCGCTTAAAGCTTGTTGAATCCAGAAGTCTAACATCCACAGGCGACTGATGACTGAAAGACGCCGCTCGGTATACAAAGGACCGCGGCGCAGGCCATGGTCCATGCGGGTAGTTCGGTCACTGGTCCGAGCGCCAGCGTATATGTGAAGCAAACAGGCAAGACCCGCAGGCTCACCTCGCTCACGGGCTCTGCACGCAGCGGTAACAGTTTGTAGCTTACACCTTGGACGAGGCGTGGCCAAGTGCAGGTAATCCCGCGCGCGAGGCACGTGGTCATTCTTTCAGAAGTCAGTAACTACACTGGTAGCGAAGTCAACGGCTTTAAGTAGTCTGGCCTCGTTAACAGCTGACCCCTGGTCATAAACCGAAATGCAGTATTTCACGCGCGAGGTGACTCGACCCTGCACCATGGTCAGCAGCACTTGTTGCGGGAAGAAATGTCTCAGGTGGCGGAGACCGATCAGGACGCCGATACGCTTGTTAACTACATCACCAACGTGTGCGTCCTAGCTCAGGTGGCGGTCAAATAGCACACCTTAGTTTTTTTACGGTCAGGCTCTCCCGAACGGTCTCCCTACCGAACCGTACGCTGACAGGGGAAGTCTGCGGGCATTCTCTCTGGTGCCAGGGAGAAAAGGAGCTCGGTATCGGATGATTTGAGCAGAGACCGTGGGCATGGAACCATGATGCTAGGGAGGACAGAGTGGTTTCCATCCGTTGGATAAGTGAAGGAAGGTTGCGTTTTACATGTGATGTGAGGATTTGGGTGTCGTCAGCATACTGGGTCTCATGAGCGTTTGATGCGTGCAGGCTGAGGTCGTTGGCAAAGATTATGAATAAAAGAAGACCAAGGGCCGATCCCTGAAAGACTCCATGGTGTTGTGGAGAGCCTTGGAGACCGCTCTGTTACCAGAAGATGAAGAGATGCAAACTGTCTGAGAATGACCAGAAAGGTAAGAGGAGAACCAAGTCGGGTCAATGCTATAGAGCTGCTGCTTGGAAAGTAGTTCAGTATGAGGAATGACGTCGAAACATTTACTGAGATCCAAGAGACACAGAAGTGAAAAATGACCACGATCCATGTTGGAAAAGTTCAGTATGAAGAATGACGTCGAAACATTTACTGAGATCCAAGAGACACAGAAGTGAAAGATGACCACGATCCATGTTGGAAAAGATGCGGTTGGACGCGTTGAGCAGAGCAGTCTCGGTGGCATGGCGGGGGCGAAAGCCATGATAGCATGAGGATAAAAGAAAGTTGACTTGCAGGTGAACACTTGGCGCTGCACCAGACGCTCAACAATCTTGGCCACGATAGGGGCGGTGGAAAAAGGACGGTAATTGGAGACCAGGGTTGGATCGCCGGATTTGAAAACAGGATGAACCAGCGAGCGCTTCCAAGAATGGGGAAAATCACAGGAGGTGATGCAGGCGTTGATAATATGGGGAGGGATTGAGCCGATGACGTCCAATGTGATGACGTCCAATGTGATGACGTCCACGCACCCTCGGAAGGCCTCATTGAGAACACGACCCCGTGCAGCGCGCCAAGGGTCGTGCCTGTCACCCGGAAACAGTAAACGCCCTCCCCGGCCAGGCGACCTGGGACATCAGGTGGCTGTCCGTGACTAGCCGGGTTGGCTGCGACATGGCGCCGACATTGACAAACTAAGCATTCATCTCGTCCGGGTCGCGGCTGGGAGACTGCGAGCACCGCTCTTTTTCCCCGCTAACAGCGGGCGGATAATGCGATACAGAGAACTGCTTCCCTGCTCATGCAGCTCTCCTCAATATCCCTCCGACAGTGACGCCTGACCGCCGACCTCACCCTGCAGTCCAGTTCACGGAAACCCGGCGATCTCCCCTCGTGACGCAACACGCCCCTCCGCCGTGCCATGAGGTCAAGGGTCACCGGGGTGACAGCTGGTGCGCCTAAATTCCCCAATTGCATTAGCTTGATCGGAGCGTGTTTGTCAATGATTGGTGAAAGACATTCTAGCAAATGGGACAACATATCAGCGACTAATGGGCGCCTAAAAACACCGGACCAGGCGACATGGTACAAATCGCCAAGCAAACAAAGAAGTTATCTATATTAGAAAGGACCACGTCTAAAGCGATCCGGAAGAAAAGTGGACACTGACAAACCGGTGCAGATGAAACGATCGGAGCACCTCATTTGCCCGGTCCTTTGCAACGTTACTAGCAGGGTCAGTTTTAAATTAAAATCAAATGCATGATGATGACACCGAAGACGCCGTAATCTGGGCCAAATTGAGTTATTTTTAGAAGTAACTGCGTTCCGTTCACCACGTGAATTTGTATAACATTGCCTGCTTCATTGTCGCGAAATATTGCATAATTACCGTTAAATGTTTGCGCAAGAAATTTCTAATATCGCAACATGTCATTATCTAGCCCTATCCACAACATGAGTGCTCAGCTTGTATGGACCAATGCATAATTTTGCTGCTTTTGCATTTTTACGGCCTCTCCAATATTGCATGTGCAGCTCTTTTATTTGCATCGTATAATACGTTATTAAACATCAAAAGTCGAGAGAATAGTAACCTAAAGGCCTGCACAGAACGAAGTCGTAATACAGTGACTTCCAAACAGCAAATGTCAAGGAAACCGGATACTTGTCGTTCGGAGATTTGTGACTATTATTGTAGTTCACGAAACATCGAACAGATATCATTATCGTTCGCACACACGCGGAGAATTTCTCCTTTGACATTTGATACCGGGTGCGGACAGCAGGGCAGGACGCCGTTGGCGTGGGCTAATTTGTCATCCTGAGCTCCTCCCTGGGCCGGGCGCGGCAATGCCTGGCAGGCCGAGTCGAAACTGGTGCATTACATCATGTAACTTCACGAACAACAGAGGCAGAGTGAACATGATGTCTGTCATCAGGTACCGGATTAATTAGACTCCAGGTGGGACTGATGAACAGAACACCGTACAGGAACATTCGGAGTAGCTGTCTCTTTAGCATTACAGGCCACCTTACGTGATGAATTAACGGATGGATGACATCATTGCGCGTCAATATTACACCAGCTTTCCCTCTCAGATGGCCAATCCTGGAGAGAAAGGGTGGCCCTCCCATGAAATGACAACATCAGAAACTCGACGAATTACACGTTGAGATACCATTCCCACGGAGATGTGCGTCATGTGAACATAACATAATGTCTTGTAGCATCAACGGTTGCATGAAAGGCCGTAATTCGCTGAGATTTCCGACAATACTTCCAACGCCATTGGCAAACCCCTATAACAATTCAGAGAGAGAGAGAGAGTGAGAGAGTGAGAGAGAGAGAGAGAGATATATATATATATATAGGGTTTATATATACATATATATATATACATATATATATATATATATATAATATATATATATAGCTTTAACACGCGCCCCGGGTGGCCGGCTAGATACTTCTCGCTCGGGTGAGGGGGTCAATTTGATCCCCCTGAGATCTCGGAAACTAAGAGAGTTAGAAACATTAAATTTACAGAGTGTGCTGACCTGTACGTCAACTCACTTAGGTCGAAGTTTTAGGTTCCTAGGTCATGACCGTCGGGTCAAATAAGGTTTAAACAGGATCAAATTACAGGTTGGTCTCCAAAGTGCCCCCATAACCTAGATAGCTGTTCCTAAGCAAGAGGTCACATGCTCAGTTAAGGTCAGTGACCTTGTTTGACCGTTTAAAGGTCATGGTGACCAAAATCATACAAGACTGCTCTGGGTTTTGCATTTGAATAAGCGTCAATTATAACGCCAGGCAGTATGTTCCTAAGAAGAAAAAAATGCTGACCTGGGTCATTTCAGGTCAATGACCTATTCTGACCTCTAAGAAGTCCACGGAAGATGTATAATGCGGTTCCTGCTATCAATAAATGCGAAATGAGCGCCAGAAACTACCCCATACAGCAAGCCATACAGTAATAAAGCAGGTTGGTTTCGACCTCGCTCTGACCTTTATACCTGACCTTAGGTCAATGTATTTGCTCATTAATATTTGTGTTGCCTGGGAAAGCACATCAGAGATGTATGGCGTAGCCTAACACTCAGTTGTTGTATCAGATTGAACTATTTCTTAGAAATTGACTTCGGTGAAACCATGACCTGATATTTGTCCTGCCATAGGTCAGCGACCTTGCATGGTACGCCTAAATTTTTGTGCCAAACCATCTACTATTCAATTGTCTACAGCTATGAAAAATTTGACGCGGCTGCGCCGCGCCGTTCTGAAACCATTCTGGAAAAACCTTCGGGGGGGGTCAATTTTGACCCCCACCCTAGCGAGTGTTAAGGGCAATAACTGACCCCGAAGTGACCGGTTAGATGCCAGATTGCCCAGAAAATCGTATATCTTCAGGTTTACAACATCATACCTATGGAACTATGCCTTGTGGCGACACAAAAATAAACAGCTTTGTTCCTTGTTCAATACCGAGTACAATGTTGCGTATTTTATGTGTTTTCCAGCATGTATTTATGGTGTACGGCTCTGTTCATGTAACAACGTCGGCCTGCCGCCCGCGTTCCACGCCATCGTCGCTTGTCGCCCCCCCCCCCCCCCCGCCCCCTCACCCCGCCCCGCGCCGGCCGCAGATCGCCGTGCAATGTTCCTCAAAGACTGCCGCTGCTCAGAGACCAGAAAAATTAGGAACATATTTTTGCTGTCAAAACACATGCGCTGGATGCCCATGGACCATTGCAAATTTGGCAACGATTGTACAACATGTCGGAGAAATATCCTCAAAAACCTGAGGGTGGTTTGTAACAGCCCCCCCCCCCCCTTAGGGTGAGGGTTAACGCGCAGGTAAAGCGATAGCTGAGGGTTTGTTGTAAGCGCCAGCACAGATGTCTCCATCACACTTGTGCTTGGGGTGGATATGGAGTCAAACCCCGAAATCAATCAGGTTTGCTTTATTACAAGGTTGAGTCAATTCCTTCACAAATTTGTGCGAGTCAGTGTGGAGGCTGAGTCAACTGCACTGGTTCAAATCGGACGAAGTCGACTCATGTAGAAGTGGAGTAGCAGTTAAGATAAGCATAAGAATCTAAGACGTGTTGTGCTTCTATTCACCAATAACATATCCTGCACAGGTTTTATGTGCTTCAGAGATCAGTCCATCTATAAATTTTTGTTCATTTGAGCCGACTCAACCCGAATAGAATCCAAAATAGGTCCATTGTGTCCTTAGCTCAGAATCGGAGACGACTAAAAATTGTGTTCTCTGTCAGATAAATGTCAGAAAAAAAAATCTCTGCTCAGATAAATGTGCGTGTGTGTGTGTGTGTTTGTGTGTGTGTGTGTGTGTGTGTGTGTGTGTGTGTGTGTGTGTGTGTGTGTGTGTGTGTGTGTGTGTGTGTGTGTGTGTGTGTGTGTGTCCCCGAAGTGTGTTTTGTATTCCTGTGTGATTGTTGTTACAAGTGTTCTTTTTCAACATGTCTGCTCTTAATCTCAGGGTCAGGACAATGAAATAAACATTTTATGTTGGAGAATGTTTTAAACGTCAACGCATGCATACATGCGTACAGAAAAGGGATAAATTCAGTGCTTCGCAAGTCGGAATCAGAATCGCTTTTTAATTGTGGAATCAAGCACAAGTAATATCTAAATACATACATCACATGACGTCACGACCTGCATATTGGTAGCCACCTTCTGCGCTATTGTTTTGGCCATGCGGATGACATCTTACGATGACATGTCTCATATCTTAATTGCTTGAATGTGAAGGAATTGGACATGGTGACTGGTAACGCATATGACAAACATCGGTGCCGGAATCAGTCACACGATAGCTACTAAGTAGTGTAGATTCCGGGCTCCATTTTGTGTGTTCAAACAGCGATGCAGGATCTCCAATGAGAAAGTCCACACAGGATCATCCAATACCCATGTCTGGCCTCCAATCACTATCTGCCGAGACGAATGCGGAGGTGACCGTGTCTCGGACGCGACGCACTCCCTTTCATCCAGCGGCCGCGCCGCCCCGGCCATACTGCACGTAACGGTTTATCGAGCCGGGCGGGCCGGAACGAATGGTTCGCACTCCGGTCCGGTCGAGAACCCCGAGCCGGCACCATCGACAGCCCCATAGTGGCATTGACTGTGACGAGGAGGTCCGCGTTGAAGGCGATTACTGTGGATGAATGGTGTTTTCTTTCGTAGCAATGGCGGTCCTCGAATATGTATTAGCTGGCGTGCGACCGTTCGTTTTTCGATGTTTTTTGCGCGGCTTTTTTAAGCAGCGAAATTAGATGTTCCAATTCAGCGTGTCGACCCGAGAAGGCTGAGTGCGAAGGCAAACATGGATTTCATCCAGTTAAATCCAGTCTGAGCCAGCTTGGAATAATAAACGGAAGGAAACACTTAACAAAAGTGGTTACTGCAGCCTCTATCTAGCAAAATCCCTGGCCGATACAACTCAACGGTACGCTGGCTGGCTTGGAAGTTTTCAAAATTTTAGATTAGCTGATTGTTCTGTAGTCAGCAGCAGCATGTGAGGGTATATTCATTTTGCTGAATCGGCATCAGCATAAGTGCAACAAACCTTGAATAAGTGGTAAACTACGCTGCGTCCGACGCGTGTCCTTCACAGGTTTATAC